CATGGAGTTTTGATTTTACATGTTCTTCTCTTTGCAAGTCGGTTTCCTTCAAATTGCTCTTGGGGAAGTTGTTTGTTTTCTATCACATATGGCAGAGGTATCATCAGCAGCTCTTCTCTCTTCTTGTTTGACATGGTTTTGAGCTGATTAGAAGCTCTGGGAACAAGTGAGGGGCATGTCAGCCTTCTTCTTCCCACTAGTGTCATTGAGATAGTTTGTGTGAAAAACCTCTCATTGTCTATGGATTTTTTTTTCCCCACTTGAGATGGTCAGATTGCCTGGAGAGGAGTCTTAGTTTCCTCCAGGAGAGGTTAGGTTCATGAGCTAGCTACCTGGAAGGTGAGTACAGGCTGAGGGCTGCAAGAGGATCATTCAGCACTCAGAATCCAAATAGCCACTCAGGGTTTACTTGGTGCCCATTCAAACATGCCTAGAATCTCCTCTCTCTTCCCAAAGATTAAGCCAAACTTTCTTCATTCACAGGACCCTAAGTGTTTCAATAATTATTTTATGGTGCTTCTAAGCCAAAAGATATTCCTAACAACTTCATTTATTAAGCAGTCATTGCCAAAGAACTTAAAAAGCATTCAGATCTTGACAAGTTAGTTCCTGTTTGAAAAAGCATACACATATACGGAAAGATTATTTTTTTCTTAATAACTACAATTACTCACTAACACATGTATGCATGGGGTGGGGTACTGCATGATCATTTCTCTTGGAATCAGATTGGACACACCCAGCCTCATTTCATGTTCCATATTGATTTTCATGTGGTGCTTACTTTTTAATCACACATTTATCAAAATTTCAATCTCACAAATACAGGATGTCATAGAAAAGAATGCAGAAAGATCTTTGTTGAGAACCTGAACTATTTAGAGCTAGTGGTTTTCCTGAATCTATCAAAAGTTTCAAACATATTACAAGACCTCTGTCAGTCTGATGTGGCACCCCAGGGTACTCTGTCACACAGTTTGAGAACTATGGGCTATATAAAATCCATTTTGTATAACCCGCCATCTTAACTTAGACCAACATTAATTTTTTAACTATTTATAACCTATGAGAATCTCAACAATCTCACTACTGCCCTCCTCCAATTCAGCACATTACATTTACCTGCACATCAACAAACTATAATTTACTTTACATTCTGAACCACAGAATCAAAACATGGACACTATGTCGAAGATCTAGGATGACAGGTGTCATTGGTAAGCAGATTCATAGGCAAAGTTGGTGACACCACACTTTTCTATGTGTAGTTCTCTAGCCAGTAAGAGCCTTTTTTGGTATTTTTAATTTTGCATGCCATCAGACAATGCTATAGATGTAACTCAATACAGTTTGTGGCTGTTTCCAGACAGCTGAGTAAAGACCTGAGTATTAACAGCTGCCAGATGAGTCTTCTGTGCCCTCTACACCCGCACCCCCAGACTATTCTTTGAAGGATTTAATCAGAGTAAAGTCTGAATGTCAATGGAAGACCACAGTAAGTAATAAGACAAACGGATGTTGGTCTTAAGTAAGCTGACTAGCTATTAATTCACAAAACAGTCTGAAAAGATTTGTGATGCAAGATGACTTCTGTCTAGACAGAGGAGGGAGTGTAAAACACATTAGACAAATACAACACAGTAGTGACAAGAAAAACCTGTTTCAATTTCACAAATGTCTTGGGAGGAATCTGCTGTTTCCTTCTTTATCTAAATATCTAATTCCTAATGGGGTTGTATCAAGGTACTAGTGATTTCAGTTTTATCTTTAGAGTTTTAAGACATCTTACACATGAATAAGGAAAGGGAAGAGCATGAAGAGAGAAAAGAGATTAAAAAAAGTTGAGGGAGGGCCTCCCCAGTGGCGCAGGGGGTTGAGAGCAGCGCTGTAAAGCTGTCTGCAGACTCTGCAGCTCAAGATCCCAGGCCAGCCAGGGAGCAACCCGTATGGCGCAGCAGACCTCTCCTGACTCGCCCTCACCCGCTGCTCCCCTCAGCAGTGTACTTCAGTCAGTCTCCTGTTCTGTTCCTTGCTCTGTCTCTGGTGGATACTCTCAGCTCTCACACCTCTGGCCTGTACCCCAATTCTTGTAATAATAAATTAATAATAAATAAATAAATCTTAAAAAAAAAAAAACTTGAGGGAGGGAAATAAGAAAAGTGCCGAGAGGGAGAGAGGGAAAGGAGAATAAAGGGCAAGAGAGGTCCAGTTAAGCCCCAATGAGAGCGCAAAAGTAAATGTGTCAGAGGAAGAGAAGAGAGTAGGAAGAAAGGGTAATAAAACCCGAATGCATAAATACGTTCCTGGATTTCAAAGGCTATTTATATTTTAGCATTTGGAAAGCATCACTGACCTAGTCCCATAAAATTTATCTTTTGCCTCAGATATGCTGTAGTCATGTCTGTTTTCCACTTAGCAATGAGACAAACAGTTATCAGGGAAGACAGCTCCTACATTCATTTTATATAGCTGAATAGTTCAGTGGCCTTTTGGATAAAATAGTTTATCAGGTCATTTAAGAAAAGCCAACAGCTCAATAGGTATGTTGTTTATTTCCCTTGACATGTCAGTGGTCAACTTCAAGGTCAGTGTAAGGAGAACACTTGGCTACTAGGAAAAGAATCATAATTATACCTAGTTTTGTCAGGCATGCCAAATACATTGTTTAAATACAAATATGTTCCAGCATTTGTTTGTTCTGAAGTTTTACTCATAACAACTCATGCAGTCATTTGAATAGACATTCATGTGTTTAAGGTTTTTTGTTTAAAAAATATGATCATGGATTTTACTTAATGCTACATGCTGATTGTAGTTTTCCCGAGGCGGAACATTGTAATGCTCCACTATATAGAACAAGGAGCAATTCTAGTGGTGTCACAGTAAATAAAATTGTGGGAAATTATCAGTTTGGAAAACTAGTTTGTTTCATTTTCAATAGCTCCTTACTATGTTTTTTAAATTGTTTTTTCAGGTATTGACAGATTTGTTTGAAGTATTTTCTGCCAAGGAACATTTGTTTTCAACAAACACCATTTCTGTGGCAGGAATGGAGTAGTCTGTCCTCTTTAACTCTTTCAGCTCTAACAAAAGGGCAAATAAAAGTAGGAAAATTTCATGAATATGGAGAGGACAAACTCTTTAACACATTGCTAATGTATATATTTTTTAAAAAAGGCAATTCACATCTTGCTCTTTCGTCACGATTTTGCCATGTTAAACCAAAAGGCATTTAAATAAGTTCTTGAGTTCAGATAATTCCATTTATATTCTCTTTCCATCTGCCTGCCCATCCATCCATCCATCCATCCATCATCTATTAAAAACAGTAAATGCACATGGTATTTTTCTCCCTCTCATGACTTTCTGCTTTAGCATAATCACCATCAGTTCCATTCATGCTGTCACAAATGGCAAGATTTCATCTTTGTGACAGCTGAATAATATTCCATTCAGTGTATATGCCAGATCTCCAAAACTAGATGATTTCACTCACATGTAGAATATAAAGTAACAAAACAAAGGAACAGCAAAAACTAAATAAACAAACAAACCCTAGAAATCTGACTACAGAATTGATACCACCAGAGGGAAGAGTAGGGGAGAAGCAGTGAAGAGGGAACCAATGGACTATGGTGGAGGGCTATGTGCCCTGGGGGTAGTAGGTGTGGTATGGCAACACACATCTAAAGAGGTGTGAATCTATAGCCCTAAAATCATTTCCTGTTGTAAACCAATGCTGCCACATTAAAAAATACAATTAAAAAAATAGTAAATACAAAAGATGTGACCTAACTCCCTTTATGATTTCCATTTTAGCTCAGGCAGTAATGTGAGTCTCAGAAATTTCACATATCCACGGATCAAGGAACCAGCATGATGCAATTTTACACTAAGACACATCGCATATAAAATGTGAAGTTGTGTATTTCCACGTTTGGAAAGGACGACAGTATTTGATGTGGTGACTGACACATTAAGCGAGGCGACACGCTCTAGTTGTAACTCATGACAAGAAGGCAGTAGATCAATTCCAGTTGTTCCCCAAGGGCCGTACTCAGCACCCCCTGCCCTTTGTATTCCCCACTTTTAACGACCCGGTTCTCAGCTCTCAGAGGTTCAGGGCTGCTGGCAGTAATCCGACCTGTGGCAGCCCCGCCTCCCCCAGAACCTTCCAGTTCCCAGTGAAGGGGCAGAGCAAGGTCACAACTCCTAAGGGACAGTGGCAGGATGCCGAAGCAGAGGCTCAAGATTGTTTGGCAAGAAGTGAACCTGGTGGTTTGGTGATGGGAAAATAAAGAAGAGAGGCATGTCGAGGAGGTGGGTCTATGAAATCCCTGGACAAAACTTTTTGTTTCTTTTACAAACATTACTGGAGTCCGTGAGGAGTCGTAAACATCCAAGAAGCCTCAGGTGGGAGGAGAGAGGATTCTGGACCCAATGCTACCGGCTAACAGCACTCTGGTGAGGTCAGAAGAGCCAGCAATTAAGAGCGATCCCAGAGCAAGAAGACTCTCCTCATGCTTGTAGACTAGTAAAAGTTTATGGCTCAGGGCACATAAATGGGGAAAGTCTGGGGGTCCATTTTGCTCCCCTCTCGGGCTGCTCTCCTGTGAGACACATTTCTAAGCTGGGGGTAGTTAAGTTTGTGGGTTTTGGTCAGTAGAAATATGCAACAGATTGCTCTTTTCTTTGGAATTTAGGAGGATGTTTTTTCATCGTTCGTTTGCTTTCTGAGTATAAAAGGCTATATTTACAAAAGCCTTAAGTCACTGAGCTTGACTTTCTGGTCTGAATGGAACTTCATGTTTTACTAATAAAGAAGTTGATGTAAAATGCAGTGTACCGACCTCAGGATGAAGAAGATATGGTCTGAAAGGGGGTTTCACATTTCCCAGAGAACTGCAAAACATTGTTCTGCTTATGGCTTTAAAACAGAAACAAAGAACTATTGAAACCCCAAAGATACAAAACTGAAGAAAAAGGAAAAGGCTTCTTACCAGGTTCAGCTGTAGATCTAGGTTCTGCTTGCCACATGAGGGAAAAAAAAATCAAAACTGTGTTAGAATTGAGTTCTTTTCATAACAAACCTGTCTTTCTTAGTACCATGGTTAGGATCTGTCTGCAGAAATGTTAAACTCATAAAGGACATAAAGTGATAGTAGGTCAACTTATATTTCTATAAATAAACTCAAAGTTCAGGTATAGCTTTCACGAGGAAGTTTTTAAAATCGCAGTTCATAAAGGGTTTATAGGAAATTTGTGAACTCCCTAAAATTGTTGCCTAACTTTGAGTCCAAAAGTATACATGCATTTTTCTAAAGGATTATAAATCATCAGAGTTTCGAGTCCACATGTAAGCGAGCACCACAACTTTAACTGACTGGACCCTCCTGCACATGCATAGACTGTCACACCTTCACTGAGTGACTAAACCTTTCTTGGTTTTCCTGATGTCAAAAGGGGAAAAGAGGTCCTATCTGGGGGAATGGGCAACTCTCCTTACTTTTCTGTAGAATTCTGAAATCCGGAGAGTCCTGGATTTCACTCCCCTGTCGGAACCACTGGACCTGCAAAGGGGGTGCTCCTCGAACCCGGCACTCCAGAACCACCACCTGGCCCTCCGATGCCGCTATGTTTTGCAGTTCCTGAAATTCAGGGAAATGTTCTGCATTAGACTTTGGTGTCTTCTTACACAATTTCACAAGAGAGAATAAGATCTCCAAACCTTTGAGGAAAAATAGCCAACACTTGCATCATAAAATAATTACCACTAACTTGGGTAGGAATAAGCTCCCTTAAGGCCACTGATAATCAGCTTTCCACCACCTCCCTGTCATGGAATGTGTAAGGTTTACCATAAATTCTGTAGAAATTTTTAGCCTGTCTGAAAATGTATTGACTCTTTCCTATTTATGCAATTTTACAGAAACAACTGTTTGCCTTTATTTAAGGGTAAATAAAGGTGGAATGAAATCTTCTTTAAACAATTACACTCCTTTTGAATGTAGATGTTTAGGAAAAGCAGACAAGGAAAAAGACATTTGCTTTCACATGCTCCAAACTTTCCATGTACTCCCTCACCACCTCCGCTCAACCAGCTTCCTATGTCAGGTTTATTAAGATAAGGGGTTTTGGTATTTTCTCATTTTGAGGTTCTGAGTAAATTAATAAAACAGGCAGCATTTCTCTGGTCTTGACCTTCATTTCCTCCTCCCTGGATGCTGCCTTTGTCATCACCCCCCACCCCCTGCCACATATACACATTCTAACTCTAGACCAATAAATTTTTAAAATCCAACAGATTAGAAATTAATTTGGCTTCATAGATGCAAAGCAGTAAAGCTTTTATACTTGTTAAATATCAAAAGATGAATAGTTCCTTAATGTGTCTGCTTCCTACCTCCCTCCTCCAGGATAACTTAGCCATGGTGCCCACTTGAACTGTTGGGCTATTTAAACTACCTACTATAGAGTACTGGATCTGATATAGGACACGAAGAACTCTTAAAATAATTCAAATGTGGTGATGTAATTTACCTATATGTCAGGTGAAAATAAACAAATTCACATTAGGAAGTGTGTTTTTTGCTTTTCCCATTATCGAAAGAGAAAACGAATAGTGTGCTGGGAAAAACCAATCTTGCAAGTGGCCTTCAGAGGCTGTGCTAAAAGCACTCTGGAAATTCTAAAAGTCTGTGTCGGCAGAATAAGCATAAACATGGAAAGTCTGAGAAGGCATTTGGTAAGAATTATTTTATTTCACTGAAGTAACACTGCATTATAACATTATATAGTTTCAGGTGTGCACCACTGAAAATCAACATGTGTATACAGTACATTAGGGTTACCACTTAAAGTCTAATTCAATCCTGCACCATAACATTGTCCCCTGTGTCCTGATTCACTCACCCTCGCCCCCTTTCTCTGCTGGTAACCACTAATTGGTCTTCTAGTCTAAAATGTTTATTTTTGCTTTATTTAGTTTCTTTGTTTTCTCTTTCTACCACATGAGTAAAATCACACGGTGTTTCACTGGATAAAGACTACCTGGTATACACACACAAATGGAATACTTTTCAAAAAAAAAAAACCAAAAAACAAAAACACGAAATCCTGCCATTGGCAACAACATAGCATGACCGAGAGGGAAAGATGCTTAGTGAAATAAGGCAGATGGAGAAATGGAGTAAGGTAAGAATTTTTGTGGTGCTAGAATTTTTAAGTTAATAGATTAAGGTTATTAACTACTTCTGATTGCATTCCTTATCCTTTATATTTAAATGTAGCCAATCTCTGCTTTTAAGTGGACTTTTTAACTTTGTGCTGGGTCTAGAGATGAGTTCATTTAGTGGCTCAGGGCAGGAAAGTGTCCCCAATGCTGTCCAGCTTGTGTGCATGAATTACTAAACATCTCCAGGCTTGCCGAGGAAGCCATTCATAGTAGATCACAAACAGCACCCAAGTATTTTTCATGTTTGACCTTCAGGCTCTGAGGGAGACTGATTTATTCCTAGAGTTATGTGTTTTTGTTCAAACCTTGGGAAGTCAGAGGTGTAAGAAATAAAGCTTAAGCAGTCAAAAAATAAAAGGCCAGACAACTCCACAATTATTCCAGGATTGCAACTTAGCTCCTTCTGGTGCGATTTTTTTTGGTGCGATTTTTTTTTTTCTACTTGACAAAAGTCACAGCTAACACAGTTAGCTAATAGGAGAACCAGCAGAAGATAACCAGGAGTTCTGAAAGAGACTGAGAGCCAACGTTTCGAGGTTATCCTTGCCAATCTGGATCATAAACTCAAGATAGGATTTTGGGCTCCTGATGTTTCAGGGTCCACATAAGACCCTCTCTTGCCATGTATCAAATCCACCTGATATTCCCTGAAGGGGTACAAGGGACTTAAGTGTCTGAGAAGAAGTGCCATGTGGGCTGTCCTCATGGGTGTTGCTCTTAATCCCTGTCCCAGAGTCCATAACTGCTCTGCCATCCCAGCTAAGCCTACTGGTCTGAACCAGAAGCATTGGTTTTGCTTTTGACCAGGAATGAAATCTGGAACTCTTCCAGAATAGCATGAAAAAACAAACAGGTGGAGTTGCCCTCGGACTGGCAAAGCCCTTCTGCCATCATCATGACATACGAAGACAAGGACAAAGGTGTGAAGGGCAACAAAGCAAAGCCTAGTTTGAGTTATGGAGATCAACATGTTCATTTTCTAAACCTGTCCCCCCAAAACCAGAGTCCACACTCAAAAATGACTCTACAAAGAGGGAGAGATGCTGCCTGAAAGGAAAAAAGGGGAGAGCAAATGCGAGCAAGGAAGGAAACAGCCCTGCAGAAAAGAGACATGCTGTGCAGATACAGAAAGTAAAGGTCCTGAGACAGCCAAGGTGGTATGTTCTGTGCTGCAGGAAGGTTGCTCCATAGCTTGAGATTTTTTTAAACCAACTGCTGTAAACATGGAGAATTTTCTTTTACTCATTTGTATGAAGCTATGTGGTTAGTATAAAGACTTCACAGTTTCATTGGGGAAGGAAAAACCAACACTAGAAGAATGTCAGTGTCCCAGGAGTTGGATTACAAAGAGAGGGTGTGATGACATGGTTTGAAGGATTTCTCTTGGTGCCCAGGAAGAATCTATAAGATCTCCACATGCCACGCCATGGTGGTGGGGAAGCACAGTCTCATGTCCCCTGATGTCCCACTCATGTCCCCTGCATGGACTTCATTTGCTTAAACCAAAAGGTGGATTGGGCTGACCACAGACTCCTCCCACCAAATCAACTGTCTTGAGCTGTAACCTATCATGTGACACAGACTTTCTAGAAACGACTTAGCAAAGCTGCTTAGGAAAAGCCTGAAACAACACAAAGGTGAAGAAATATCAACCTCTGTGAACACTTCCTATTCTAAGCACCATTGAAGCCTCTGGTGGCTTCCATGGTGACACTGCTTTTGGTAGAGTTTTACATTATTTTTTTTTTTCTTGGTATTTATCTAGGAGGGGAGTTTCTAAGTGTTGTCATTTATTATCATTTGCTGTTTATGTTTAGGAAGAGATATTTAATAAAGCTGGATATAGGCTGGCTAGGAGGGAAAAATCTCACTCCCTACTCAATCAAGATACCCGCTCTATTCTATTGGTCACATAGAATTTTTATGGATTTACTTTACACATTTGTCTTTAAATGTTTACTTGATTTTTGTGAAAAGTATGGGGGCAGGAGTCTAATATTTTTTTCACTAGAGTATTCTTAAGAGTTTGTACCAACACCAAACTATCCTAAGCACTATAATGTTGGAAAATCTTAGTATCTCAGAGAACAAATCCCGCACGGGACCTGTTTCCCTAATGCCACCTTATTTTTCTTCTACACAAGAGCTTTGGCTATTCTTGGTCCAAATTTCCTTTCACATGACTTTTAGAATCAAATTCTCAAGTTCTATGACAAACAATAAAAAACAAGGAACCTGTAAAATTTTTAGCTAGATTTACATTACATTCGTAAATAAATATGGGAGTTGTGACTTCTTTATAATCTTCCAATCCACAGGCACAGCCTATCTCTCCACTTATTTGGGTCTTTTAAAATGTTTTTCAGTGAAGTTTTATGATTATCTTAAAACATGGAGGAGAAGGAAAAGAAATGCTACATGGAACCATTATGGAGTTGAACCAACCAATGAAATGGAATGTCACTCAGCCCTGGCAATGCAAATCACCAACTTAGGACATTCTAGAAAAGAAATTCTAGAAAACATGCTGGTTCTCCCAAATAACTTCTTGCACAGGATTTTGCCTTATTTTTTTGCTCCCTGTCTTGGCTTTCCCACTATTTTAAGCTCTGTTGGTCACCGACCACATCCATATTGTCAGCCCTTTTACAAGATTATAGTCACCAGCTGCTCAATAAACATCTATTTAGCCCCCAAAGTAGCCACGATAAGGCTACGGATGTGTTCATTTTAATTTTTTAAAGACAGCTATAAGAAGCCACATGTGAATGAAATTTGAGGATCGTGAAACACAGAAAACGAGACTTGCAGATGTCAGACCTTTGTGAAGACAGGAGGAAAGAAAGCAGAAGGGTTTCCATCAGGTCTGCAGAGATACGATGTCGGACTGTGAACCTGAAAAGGTAGAGACACATGGATCAAATTCTAAATATATAAACTGCTGAAAAGATGAACTAGAGAAAACTTCCATTATTGGGGTGGCTCCACATGAATGAAAACGAGTAAATGGATGTATCGCCATACATCATCCTGCTAGTCTGCCCTTACAATACAGACATTGTTCTACTTCCTCATTTCACATCTGTTCCTTTTCTCTATTCATGAGGATATTCAAGGTAAAAGGTCTCTGGTTCCACAGGGATCCATGAGATTTTAAATGCTATTACCAAATGGGTTTCTGTGTGTGGGACTTCCACAGGGGTCTTTTAAGAATTATCACAGACGTTGTATTTTATTTTTAAATATAGCCTGGATTCATTGACTGAAAAGCGCACGTTATTGCTAGTGGAATGGAAGTAAATGATCAGATCTCTACCTATCTTATTTTAAACTTGTACATTTTTAGATAGAGATTACAAGAAATAAGGAAAAAAATGAATATATTGGATTTTTTTTTCCTCCCAAATATACAAACATCTAAGTTATTGAAACTCATTGAATGGCACTTCCCTCTGGGGAGATAAAAAGGATTCTAGAGTAGTGAATGAAAATCACCTCTTCATGTATAATTATTTCTGTTCAATACAAGTAATCATTAGGCATATAATCCAAGATAATAGGGTTGTGATATCTTATGTCTAACTACTCCACCAGACATCCCTGTGTGCTGACAGAGTTGTAAAGAGGTGAGGGCAGTAATGGACCTTATTCATCATCCCTGTGAGATTTCTTACTGGCTTGTGACCCAGGCGTACTGGGTCTCACTTTTCACTGTCTTTTTATGTGCAAAAACATTTACATGTATTTATTTTGTGCAGACTCCACTGTTCCAGAATCACATCAACAGTAACACACTGAGCCCTCATGCCAATCCTGTGAATTAGCTGATATTGCCATTTTCACTTCAACAAGGGAAGAAACTAGACACAGAGAAGTTTCATCACTTGCTTAAGGTTTTCTTTCTTAGTAAGCAGCAGAGCAGGGACTCAAACCCAGGGAGGCGGGCTCCAGGGCATTAACCTTTACTCCAGGTGCCTACAAAGATAAAGCAATGGGGTTTCTCTGAACACTGCACTTTCCCAACTATGAAAGGGGAACGTGTTACTCCCCATTCAGTGTTCCTATAGACTTAAACCATTCTAACACCTGCTGTTGACTTTATTATTCACATATTTAGAAACATTTGTTTTTCTGCTCTAGGCATCTATTACACCTTAATATTTTTTTTTTCATTCTCATGAAGTGTTTCATGTCTATATTTCCTGTTTCCTGTACATAGTTTATAAACTGGGAATGGAGCGGTGATTTTTTTTTTTCTGTCTTGAAATGTGAAGCATAGTGGAGTGCATTCATTAAATACTTATTAATACTTGAACATCAAATATAATAAAGTGCATTAGTTTAATCAGAAATAGTTCTATAAATTCCACTGTGGAATTTATAGGGGTTTAAAGGGAATATTTACTTTATATGCCAACTCTAAGAAACTTATGCTAGCTGGTTCTTTCAAGTTTATGAACTCAAATGTCTTTTCTATACTGTTTGCATACTGCACATATCACAGTGTATTTATCTCACACCCTGCAATTGCTAACACACCTTTGAGTACTCAGTAGACAGAGGGCACAGATGTTCTCATAAAGCATACTTACTAGGAATGACTTTATATTTCAAGTGTGGGATGGGAAGCCTTCCATAAGGGGTGTATTGAAAGATACTCATAAAGGCAAAGTACCTTATTTAGTTTAGAGACATTTAGGTTTTAACTTTTTTTATTTAAGCCTTCATGTTTGTGTTTGCAATGTAAACTCATTATAATTTCTTGCCAGTACTTTGCATTGCTCTTTCCTGGATAGTTTTACAATGAAATAAAAACAAGACAAAAATACTTCATGAAGTCAAGGAATTTGAATTATTGTTTTTTCTTATTTATCTGTTTAGCTCTTAGGGATGGGGAAAATTTGCTATGTGGACTTTTTTTCTTCTAGTTTATTTTAAGTGAGCTAATGAATTTGGCTAAATGGAAGAGGGCACATAAGCTGGGGAATAAGTAAACAGTCATAGCTACAACAGATAACCATTTTAGCAAATTCCTATTAGAAAGAACAGTTCCCAGTGCAAGTCCAGATGTTGACTTACTAGTGGTGACTTGGATTAACGATTATTTTTAGTGGATTAAAAAAAAAAGAAATTTACCTACCATTTTCTTTTCTCCCAGTGTGTTTTCACTTAGAAAATATTTCAGGGTATGTACTATTTAGCAATCAAAGTTATATTTTCTTTCTTATTTGTTGAGAAATATATCCTTTTATCATTACAAGTTTTTTTATTCACATAATTTTGGTTTATAACATTATACATTTCAGGTACACAGTAAGATTAACACAACATCTATATATGTCACATATTGTTTAAACCAAAAAATCTGCTAATGAGTTTTGACTTCCTGTGCATTGTGGGCCAAAGAAAACTTACCTGTTGAATAGGGACAGATAATGGCTGAATCACAGCTGTGGTCACGCCTGTCTTTGGAGATGATGATCCTATTGTCAAGGAAACAGAAGTTGTTTTCTTTTGAGCTCTGAAAAATAGGGAAGCAAGCACTTAGAATTTTTTTAAAGCAGGATTTATTCTTTGTAACATGTCCACAGAACAGACTAGTTTGTTTTTGTGTTCTCAAGCCACCTCAACTGTAAGCACTTCTGAAATAGCAAGTCATAATGCACAGAATTGCTCTGTTCAGTATCTCCATAGAGTGGACCTTGTAGACATTAGCAAATAAACACATAAAATACTGTGTCTCAAATATTGCCAGAGGACAGATTATAAAACTTGGAAATCCTAAGAGAAAAGAAGATACAGCAGCTCATCCAATAACATTTCAGTCAATGTAGTCTCATTGTAACACTGATGAGGAAAAAGAAAACCCCAACCAATGTTAAAGGAGACCATGCTATTCAAGGACACGTTTTTTGTTTCATGTTGTTCTGCGTAAAATTGCAGTTTCCAAGAACCTGTCAATGGCATTGAGGACTTACTATACTTGGAATAAGTAAAATCTTTAGCAGTAAGCAGTTATTTGAAATCTTTAGGGCTCGGGTTCTATATTTAATTCAAAGTTTGGGTTGTCTATTTTAAGCCTAGCAGCTGTTCCAGTTTCTAATGTTATTGAGACCATCTTGGAATTTTTGTTTTTTTCTTAGTGCAAAAAAATTAGTTCAGTGTAGAGAAACACTAATTTTAGGTCCAGTTTTGCTAAGTAGCTAGCTGTGCAATCTCAGATTTGAGGTCCTTATCTAAAATCAGAGGTGGCAGAGTATATGATCTTTTAACAGCCCCTCAGCATTAATAATCAGAGGGTGTTTGATGCCAAATGGACATAATTGTTACGTATATACTAGCAGATCAAAGAACTACATCAGGATAGTTTCAATGTTCATGGAGTTTTTTTATGAAACTCTGGTAGATTTTATGTCATTTTTGCAAAATAATTAAGATATCAGCATTTTACTGATATTCCATATGTCTCCATAGTAAGGACTAAATTTTGCAATTTTCATGACAAGATTTTTATTCAAATGGAAGCCTATTTCTGGCTTACTTTGTTATTTTCTCATTTGCACAGATAAACTGGTTCTCATTTACAATTTATTTATTTTTTGTGTGGGACCCTCGCTGGTGGCCGGGGATCAAACTGGCACTGCAGAGGCTGCAGGCAGCCTCGCAACCCAGCGCTCAAACACTGCACCACCAGGGAGGCCCACTCATTTACAATTTATTTATTTTTTAAATATTTATTTATTTATACATGCACTGGGTACAGTCAGAAGCGCGGGAGGGTGAGAGAATTCACCAGAGCCAGAGCGGGGAGCAGAGCAGGCAGAAGGATCGAAGTACACTGCTGAGGGGAGCAGCGGGCGGCAGGAGAGGTCTGCTCACCTTGTGGGACCCTCCTGTGGTGGCTGGGGAGCAGCCGGGGATTGAACCAGTGCTGCAGAGGCTGTGGGCAGCTTTGCAACCCAGCGCTCAACCGCTGCGCCACGGGGAGGCCCCTCATTTACAATTTAAAGTAATGATTTAACTCTCTCAATGTAACAATGTGACGGTTCTTTTCATAAATTTATAACTAGTTAGTTGCTTTGAAAGTAACATTGCATAGGGTTTGATTTTGGCATACCAAGGATGAAATGTAGACTTCAAAGTTCAAATTCATAAGTTTAAAACTGTGTTCCCAGTTCTTGGATCTTTGACTGACATCAGTTGACCTTTCCCTTCAGAGCATGATGTGCCTGGCTCCATCCCCCGCCATTTCTTGGGGCACCCTTTGCCATGTGGATAAGTGATGAAACTGCAGGCACTTACTGTGGCATAGCTCCAGGTTTTGACTTGAAAACTAAACTTTCACTGTCAGAATCTGTTGAACTGGCACCTGGGAGAATATTAAAAATAATAAAGTTAAGATGTAAGTAGCATTTGTAATCGTTTCGAAGAGTAACATACTTCATCTTTAGAAATTAACACACAGTTTTACTTTGAAATAGAGAATGGTTGAGACCATTTTGACTTAGACTGCTTTTGCAGAAAGTCATTTACAAAAGAACTATAAAAACCTTTCTTCAAAGCAATGTGTTTTCAATGCCAGATTTATTATTAGTTTCATTTTTATCACTTTGGCCATCGCAGCCATACTTTTAAACAGCTTACAAGCTATAAAATAAATACGTGAGTCCATGTGTAAAACATCCACGGTCTTAATCTTTAACCCTTTCCCAGGGGAGTACCTGGTGTGGATTACTGTCTTCATTACCCTTTCCTTAGGAGATATTTTTCTGACTCTTTGCTAAATGAGAACATGACAGGGCTTCATGACCGAATAAGAGGGACTCTGATTTGGGGTCATGTCCTCCCAAATTAATTTGCTACATTTACTATTTCTGAATGAAAGGTCACCTGATCAGATGCTGACTCAAAGTGCAAACTATCGTTACCCTTTAATCTCATGAGTTCTGTGATGAGAGAGTTAAGGTTATAGATTTTAAATAATGTGATGGCTAGATGTATGTCCTTGATATTTCTTTTTTTAGACATATTTGAGTTATTTTCATTACTTAAAAGTATTTTAGTATAAAGTAAGACATGCTTATAGAACAGTAACAGAATTGTGTGTGATAGCAGTGAAGATTAGCGGGTACCTTTCTAATGCCATTCTGTATAGGTTAATGGCCTGGTGTGTATCTTTCAGTCCATTTAATGCATTAACATAGTATGTTCATGTTCATATTTATACAAATGACATCATATTACATATACTCTTTATAATTAGTTTTTTGGATTTGCCTATCAGGACAAATGAAATATACACATAGTTAATTCTCTTGGATGGTTGCCTATATTCCTTCCTGTGCCTCTAATTTGTTTTTCCCATCTTTTATTGATGTTGAAACAGTCATAGGTTAGTAACTCTACTGGAATGTCTGCTGTCCCTTCCTGTTTATTTCCAAAACTACCACCAAGGGAAGGCTTTCTTCACCTAGTTCCTGAACTACTTAACAACAAATTCTTATCTTGCTCTCCTTGCCTCCCAGTCTCTCATTCATATCTTTAACTTCTGTCAGATCAATTTTTCTTTAACACATCTTCACTATTTAAACCAAAAACATAGATTATATGACCTTCTATTCAGTAAAATGAAAACTTCAAAACCTGTTAATGAGTGGTCATCATCTGTAACCTGGTTTTCTAGCTCTGTCTGCCAGAACACTGTGAACTTTCAGGTCTTAACATCCCAATCCAGAGATGGAAGGTACTTATGGTGTCTACTCTGCTAGATAAGGGGAATACAGTAGTGAAGAAATACACACACACACACACACACGTGAGCCCTTGCAGAGTTTCTCTTCTTTCAAGGACAGAGACTAGACATGATATATAAATACATGATGTGTTGGTGAATGAAATGGGAAAACTGTAACACAGTAGGAGTGTGGGGTGGGATGGGAATACAACGGGATGCAGCTTTGAGTAGGGGGGCAGGGAAGCCCCACCGAGACGGGACTTTTAATAAAGATCCAATTTTGATATGCGTTTTCCTTTCTTGACTTTTTCCCATGTTTGTGCCTTCAGTTATATCTTCCTTTTGCAGGAAATGACTACCCAGCCCCTTCTTGATATTCTCTCTTTTGAGACCAGCTCATCATTTATCTACACTGTGTCTTCTCTGAACCCACTGTTCTTGCTTACATTACACAGGTCACAGCATCATTACATGCTAGAAAATGATCAGTTCCTTGTGAAAACAGGCAAGGTTAGGAAGGGAACTACCAATATTTGACTAGTTACTATTAGTTTGGCAGTCTACTTGGCACTTTATATTACTTAACTATTATAATACTGAGTTATGTCCTGTTACAGATAAGAATTGAGTCACCTGGAGGCTAAGGAATTTGCATAAAGACACATAAGCGGAAAGCAGTAGCAACGGGATGTGCACGTATGCTTTCTGAACTTTGGTCTGTGACTTCCCCAGGCACGTGACCTTGACGAGCAGTACATGTCTGTACTCCTCCAAGAGCTTTACTCATGGCAGGTCTTTTAACTTCCAGTGTTGCCTAGCTTCTTGGGGGCAGAGTGGACACTGCAATTAGAAAAAAGCAGCAAGTTGGGAGAGGGCTGTCCCTGGAATACCAGGGCCAAAGCATTTGGACTTGAGGTGTAGGCATTGAGATGGGATGTAGGAAAATAACCAGAGCAACACAAAAGTTCAAACTTACTTGCTAACAGAAAAACCTAATCCAAAAAAGGTGACCAGGGAGAATGTTTTAACCACCACGAGGAGGTGGGGGAAGCTGAGAAGAAACCCAGGGAACCAACAGCCTGTTAGCACAGAGTTCCAGTAAACTGAGAGATCAGTTTTAAAGGAATCACGAGTGTCAGGGGGGCGGGCTGCCAAAAGTCCTGTGGAAGTTACCACAGACTCCAGCGCTGGAAGCAGCCAGAAGCTGGGGTGACAAATAGCTACTTTTTCCATCTGATTTGAAACATTTCTAAAAACCCCTTCCATTATCCCTCTTAGAAAGTATTCTTTTTTGCTACTTTTTCCCAGTTGATTTTCAGAAAAAGGTGAAGGATTGCCTGAGTAAGGACACATTTGCTAGTTTTTGCACACTTGTTCAACACATGTGAAATCTCAATGTCACGTCAGTTCTCAGGTGTCAGAGCAGCTCTTGTGGAAAGTGGCAGATCAAATCTCCCTCTGATGCCAATAAGTTCCCTCCCTCCCCCTCAGCGTAAGTCTTTCCTACCTCCTCCTCCTGCTTCCTCCTTCAGGCATCTGCTTTGCACCTGCTGGTCAGCAAAAAACACTCCAGTCCCAGGTAGACATTTTTCTTTACATTTTCCATACTACCACATTCGGTTTAATGCAGGCTCCCCTCTGAAAGGCACATGGTCTGTCCTTGTAATCACTATCCTGTTCAGTTAGTATGTACCTCCTATATGCTAACTGTTTGTGTATTGCTTCCCACAGGGAGTGAAGTTACCAATGACAGTTACCAATGACCTCTGTTCTGGCGATGGAGTGTGATGTAAATATTAAAATGAGCTTTGACTTTAAAAGTTGTTCCTGATCCATGGGCTTCCCTGGTGGCCTAGGAGTTAAGTGTCAGCGCTATCACCTCTACAGCCTGAGTTCAATCCCTGGCCGGGGAGCACAGCTGACCTCTCCCGTCTCACCCGCTGCTTCCCTTAGCAGTATATTTCAGTAGATCCGCCTGTTGTGCTCCCCACCGTGTCTCTGGTGAATCCTCTTACAACCCACACCTCTGGCCTACACCCCAGTTCTTCTATGAAAAAAAAAAAAAAAAGGTGTTCCTGGCCCAGTTTTGAAATGTGACCAATTTAAAACTCACTTCTAGGAAAAGATCCAGAAAATGCACAACAGCAAAAAATAGGAAGAAAGAAAACTCAATTATAATACCACCACTGAGACATTTAGGAGAATATTCCTGTAAAATTCATCTGCTTGTGTGTGCTGTGTGTGTGTGTGTAAATAGTTAAGTATATTTTACATAGTATGATGACGCTGTGTATATGGTCAATTATTGCTTCCCCTTCCCCCCATACATGGTGACATGCCTTCCTATGTAAGTTTTCTAATATCTGCTTCAAATACATTTGTCTGGGTTTACCAGAATTTTGACACTGTGCTATTAATGGATATATTTATCATTTCCATTTTGTAAACATTTCCCCAGAAAGGTTTATAAAACAGTGACATAACAGCATGGAGTGTTCCCCCCCATCCTGAAAACACTTTGCTATAGTTACTTTTACTTTCATAATCTTTTCATTTAAAAAAAATGCTGTATTTCTTAGTGGAAGCAAATATTGATACATTAACTCATAGGGTTTCAACCTCAGGAAGTAGGAAGACTTTGGGAAAGCAGATTTCAACAACTTAAAAAATACGATTTTAGTGAATCTAACTATGGAGTTTATCCCTTTGTATATGCTTTTGCCTTTCAAAATTTAAGGAGTAGATTCCCTCTGACTCCTATTCCTACTGCTCATTTTCCTCTCTCCCTTTTTTCCTCAGGTGCTACAATTACCAGCACAGCAACAATTACCTGCAATCTCGGAAAAGAGTAGCTGAAACAATGCCAGCAATTTAAAATTTTATAAATGATGAACAACTATAAAGGCATGAAAATGAGCTTTAAAAGATTTTTAATGACATAGATAGATGTCTGTGACAGAATAGGCTAAATAAAAACACAGTACAAAAGAGCATACAGTGAAAAACATACACCCTTATAGGGAAAAGAGGAGAAAGATCAAAATATTAATAGTGACACAAGGCACTGGGATTCTTTTTTTTTTTTTTTTTTTTTTTAAGGCACTGGGATTCTAACTTTTGTATCTTCTTTTTATCTGTTTTAGATTTTCAAAAATGAAGTTGTGCTATTTTTGCAATTTTAATAATAAGTGAAATTACATGCCAGCCATTGCTCTTGAGGATTAACTCATTCAATTCTTACAATGATCTATTTTTCTCCATTCAGAGAGGAACCCATAGGGCCTCTGAATAACTGTGCAAGGTCCAGCAGTGAGGAACACAGCTCGTCATAAAATATGAAAATTATTTAAAACTAAATAGTAAAAATGGCCAAAACTGTGTTTATATTCCTTTAGCTTTTCTTAAGTTTTCCAAATCTAGCAGAAGAAACCTTATGCTCAAGAGGTTTTATCCTGCTGGATCAACAGGAACAGTTTCTCATAAAACAACTCAGCAAGCTTCAAAAATGTTGCTTAAATGGGTGCACACTTTTATCTGACTATTCAAAGCACTGAGAATCTATAAACAAATGTCAAACAGGATGTCCCAACATGCTCATTCGAGTTCTCCTACCCTCTTTGCCAACTATTTTATAA